TTTCAATAAGCAGTTCACATACACTTTGTCTCATGATATTGACTACAATTTACCACAATGCAACAGCTCCCCTCCCACTTCCTCCTGATAGTTACCTCTTCCCTGTGTCCATCCCTCCATACACTCCTGCCCCCTGAGCTGTCTCCCTGTGCATAAGCAGCTCTTCTTTCTCCCATGATTCTTCTTTCCAAGGAGCATATCTACCTCAGGTAAATGTTTAACTCATATGCCTGTCTTTTGTTTGGCTGGCAGCCACAGGTGTGGATTCAATTCCAGACCTGAAGGGCAGTTAGGAGCCATAATCTCAGTGGTTCCACCAGACTCTATCAAACCAGCAAACCTGGTCCCCTTTTTTTGTTTGTTTTCCAAATGATTTTGAGTTTTGTTCCACATTGTTCTCCCTCTCTATCAAGGATCTGCTACATAGATCCCCCTCCGAGTGGTTGACAGTGGTAGTCAGGCACCATCTAGTTGTGGTCTCATAGTCGTAAAGGCTGAGGAGTGCAGGTGTACCAGTCACTAGGACTAATTGTTTCCATGAATCTTTGGTTTTCTTCATTCTTCTTTTCTCTGGAGGAGGAGAGACCCATCATTGTATCTAGATGGCTGCTTACAAGCTTTTAAGATCCCAGTCACTACTTGCCAAAGTAGGAGGTGGAACAATGTATCATGTAGTATGTTATGTCAATTGAGCTTGATATTAGTTGCAACTATGATCCCAAGCCCACACATTTAACTACTCACTCTCTGGGTCGCTGGCTGTGACCAAGAATTGACTACAACCTTGTCCCTTGTCAGCTCTACTATACCCCTGGGAATTCTTACAGGATATACAAATATACTTGTAGAAACATTGTCTGCCAACCCTATACATGGTCTTGGGTACACTCCCTGCATAGACATACCTAATAGTTCAGCCTGTCCAATCATCTATCCACCTGTATACCCATGTTTGCCTTCACTGACAACGCTGTACTGTATGTGCAAAAGGGTACATCTTGGTTGTCTGTACCTCCCATGTATCTCTCTATGTCTTCCTCTTCCTCAGTACCACCTTGTTCATCACTTGCATTTGGTACACTGCCTTTGTCTTTACCCAAATCAATACTTATCTCTACCTATGTAACAGTGTTATCTACCCTACCCTCTCACCCCTGGTAACCAACAAATAAAATTTCCTTTCATATATAAACCTTTTCTTGACTTTTACAATAACAGACTAATACAATATCTGTGCTTCTGTGATTGACTTATTTCACTCAGCATAACGTCCTCCAAGTTCATCCATGTTATGTGGTGTTTTGCAGATTCTACATTATTCTTTAGGGTTGCATAGCATCCCATTGTGTGTATGTAACATTTGGTTATCGATTCTTTGCTGATGGGCACCTAGGTTGTTTCTATGTTTTTGCTATTGTAATAGTGCTGTGATGAACATGGATGTGCACATAATCTGTTCTTGTCCTAGCTCTCACTTCTTTAGGATATATCTCTAGTAATGGAATGGCTGGGTCAAGTGGTATTTCTAATTTCAAATTTTTAAGGAATCACCATACTGCTTTCCATAGCAGTTGTATCATTTGACAGTCCCACCATCAGTGTATGAAATTCTCAATCTCTCTGCATCCTAACATTTATTATATTGTTGAACTTTTTTT